ATCCCAGCATAAACACTTCAATACCGAAAATCAAAGCAGGCATTTTCTTTCGGTATCCAAGCAACAAAACAACCGTACAAACATTATAAACCTTTCACCAATTTCCAGCGACCTGCCCACGTTTTTTCGCATGTCTTCTTTTTTGAAATGTTCTGAGTACAAAGAAGTTGATTTTGTGATGAAGAATCCGTCCTTTCCATGCTGGCGCTTCAGGAGATTGCACCATCTAATTCACTGCTGGAAGTCATTCGGAAACGAGAAGAAATGGAGACCTGTTGGATTGCCTGTTGTGTGATAATAGCTATTAGCACAACCAAAAAGCGGCACAGTGTCTCCCTCTTCTTTTCGAAGAAGAAGGAGGAATGTCCTGTGTAGGGAAAGTATCGCTCATTGTCGAAATATCTCGATAAAAAGGACAGAGCACCACCACATTTCACTAAACTCTCACTAGAACTCGCAACACCACTCATCACTAACCTCGCTATCACGTTTGCGCGGTTACACATTTAATATGGTGCCGGAAACTGTAAAAAGGGCTATTTTTTTTTTCATATCATTCTTCAAATCTTCAAATCTTCATATATTCAAAACAGGGGCGAAAAAGGTTGATCACACTCCAAAATCGTTCGGAAAAGTAATAGATATTCAGTGGAAGCTGCCAATTGTACAGACATCGAATGTTGCTCTACGCACTAGTCGTAGCCCATACATAAGAGTGCTTACCTCAGCATGTTTTTATACGTACATTTCATGGCAGAAAGCTGAGCCATTCAAGCCAAATTCGGTGAAAATGGTAAGCAATACTAAATATAGAGATATCAACTACAGTTCGCACATGGTTCGACTTCGAAATTCGAAGTCGAACTAATTATTAGACGGAAGTCGCGAAGTGTAGCACACAGCCTCGCAGTTCGACAGTTTGGCACGAAAGACACAATTTTCTAGTGACAGCTAGTTAGTAACAACAGGAATTAGGTAGAGAGATATCTGGTAAGTGAATGACTTTACCTTGGCTAGAATCGTCTCCTTAGAACCATCAAAAAAGTATTTCGAGATAGACATCTATAGCCATGTTCGAATGGAATGCTTACTGTGCTAGCCTGCGAGGCAAGCTTGGGGGAGAGGAGGGGGAATTGGGGCGAGCGGAATGTGCGGAGGGGAGAGGGAGGGGAAACCCAAACCCAACCTCCCTCACCCCTCCGCACATTCCGCTCCCCCAATTCCCCC